AAAATATTGTCCCCCTGCCACTCTATGAGTCTTACTCAATATACAAACCCACCAGAAGAAATAGACTTAGTATACCAAGAATTCACGGATACTGATTTACTTGCATTAACAACTCTAGAAAATGATGATGCTAATAGTATAAATGAAAGTAATTTTTTTATTACTCCTTCAAACCCTGCTAAACTCGATGCTATTCATACTGTGATTAGTCTTCTTGACACAACCATCTCTGATCACAATACTGTACTTAGAATATTGTATTTATTATAACGAGAAATCTAACTTCAAGTCTTCTCCTTAAAGATTCAAATAGTATTAGATTTTTTTATACAAGTAGAATACCAGGTAAGAGTTTTTTTTAATTGCTTTTACAGGTTTGCTTTTTATTGCTAATTTTTTTTTATTTATATTAGTAGATATAGGTTGAAAGGAACATAGTATAAGCTGAACCATAATAAATAGGTTCTTATTTTTTTTTATTTTGTACAATATATATAAATAAACACTTTATGTTAAATTTTGTTTTAATTATTTATATAATATACACAATAATACACACAAATAGGATCTTTACATCAGAACCTTTATGCTATTACATGAATAAAATGGAAAAAAATTAAAATTATTATCTTATATTATGTTTGATCTTCAATTAATTCATTCGCATGATATAATTCATTGTGATTTACTTAGCAATAGTATATTGATATTATGAAATATTTTATAACTTTTTTATTTAGAAAAACTTGTATTTACTTGGCCTCTGTTTACCAAAGCAGTTATATGTTGTAGGTAGTAAACGAATTTAAAAAGAAATGTAATAAATTATTAAATATTGCGTCCTTTCCATTAGTATGCATTTATAAAGTACTTTATTAATAATGCTGATATTTGGTCCGTATTACTGGGTGAGAATACATCATCATATGTGAAGTTCTATATTGTGATAAAATAGTTAGATAGTAGGGAATAGTGATTGAACCCGGGTGGGTCAGATATTTGGGTTGTAATTGTGTTTACCTGGGTAGGCTTGGACGAGTAGATCTGTAAATTTATCTGAGTAGACTTGGATGAGTTAATTCATGGGTCTACCCATGAACCAACCTGTGAACCAACTTGCTGTAACCCACCTAATATCACCACCAAAATCATGTGCTATACGTAATCGGTTCTTAAATTTTAATTTGAGTTTAATATACGAGGTATGAAAAATAACTGAAGTTTCAAATTACTGTATTTATATTTAAATTATTTATTTGAATTATTTATTCAAATTATTTATTCAAATTATTTATTCAAATTATTTATTCAAATTGTTCATTTAAAATAAATTCACAACTGATATTCAAATTAAAATATTTAAATTTTTCTTAATACACGTATAAAGCTTTAAGCCTGAATCAATGCTACCAGT